GATGCTGGGGCCGCTTCCTTATTATTACACATGCCCATATCCCACCAAAAGATTTACCACCTAAGTACGAATTCCTAAGCACCGTATTTTCATTTCATCTGCTTTTTGAAATTTACACAAGTGGAATATGATATGAATTCCTTCCTGTCTGGCTTTTTCAACTTAGCACTAGATTCATGAGATTCATCCATGTTGTTCTATCTGCCCTGTGTATCATTATCTGGGATTGCAACCAGCACTCCACTCTATGCCTACACCAAAAGTGACTTATTCATTCTATAGCTGGTAAACATTTAGGTTGTTCCGAATTTGGAGTTGCTGTAAATAACGTTACTGTGAACATTCTTGTCCATGTCTCCTGGTACACAAAAGCAAGTGTTTTTACTGGTTGTAGACCTAGGAGTGGACTCTGAGTCATGGAGTGACTGTATATTCATTTTAGTACTTAATATTAAACCATTTTCCATGTTTAAACTCCTATCGGCAACGTTCCTTGTTAATCAATACCCTCACCACTCAACATCCATGCCACCACTTTGCACTGTCCATCTTTTTCATCATAGACATTCTGGCGAATGGATAATATCCTACTGTGGTTTTAATTTTCATTTTCCCAATTACTAATACAAAGTTGAGCAGGCTTACATGTTACTGACCATTTGGATCTACTCATTCTTGAGTACTTGTTCAAGTCTTTTGGCCACCGAATGGCAGAGATCCTAGACACCACAATTACACATACAGGCTGCCAGAATCCAGCTATAAAACCTTTCCTTGAGAATATCAACTCATTAGCAAGAACAGGGAGATAAAAAGATGGTCTATTTCCTCAGGAGACTGTTTGCTATAAGTCAAATTACTATTTATGATGATTCTCTATTAAGTAGGACTAACTTCAACAAAAATTACTAAGGCAAAATATAATACCAAAACACAAAATACAGAAAGAACATACAATCTGAGAGTCACGAGTAAATATTTCTGGGTCACACCATGTAAACTACATACTTTGCAGATGGCATGAAGATTAAACTGGATCAGGCATGTAAGGCTCTCAGTATCCTGCCTTGCAGTCACCTCTGATTATCTTTCATAATTTAGTTAAGAATAATGGCTGATATAATAAAAAATCCTAAGTAACCTGTCTTAAACCAACAACCCTCAAACATATAGATACATGGTTACTTTTGCTATACAGAAGGCTATGTACTAAAATCCTCAACCACATACACTATTACATAGGTTTGTGTTTAAATAACCTGATAACACATCTCTTGTTCCTTTACCAATTCTGGCCCTCCACAAGTCTTCTTTCTTTCTTTTTCTTTTTTTTTTTTTTCCGACAGAGTCTCACTCTGTTGCCCAGGCTGGAGTGCAGTGGCACAATCTCAGCTCACTGCAACCTCCACCTCCTGGGTTCAAGCAATTCTCCTGCCTCAGTCTCCCTAGTAGCTGGGATTACAGGAGCGCGCCACCACACCCAGCTAATTTTTATATTTTTAGTAGAGATGGGGTTTCACCATGTTGGCCAGGATGGTCTCAAACTCCTGACCTCAGGTGTTCCACCCACCTCACCCACCCAAAGTGTTGGGATTACAGGCGTGAGCCAGTGCACCTGGCCCTCCTCTTTGTTCTGAAATACCACTTCCTCGTACTACTAGGTGTTAACTATACAGTGGTCCCCCTTATTCTCAGGGGATACGTTCCAAGACCCCCAGTGGATGCCTGCAACTGCAGATGGTACCAAACCCTATACTTACTATTTTTTCCTGAACATACATACCTATGATAAAGTTTAACTTATACATTAGGCTCAGCATCCTTGTGTTTTGGGACCATTATTCAATAAAATAAGGGTTACTGGAATATAAGCACTGTGACACCATGACAGTGAACCTGATCTGCTACCTTGGCGACTCTGGATCTCTGTTCCAATAGTGAAATGTCACACTGCAAACTCTTGGCCTGGGGTATAGGACTTAAGTGGCTCCAGGACCGATTTCACTGCCATCACTTATACATGGTTAGATCTGGGTTCAACTTGTTTGCTGTGAGCTAAGTGTCTGAATGTCTCCATGTTTATAAAACTTTAAAACTACAGAAAAATTGCTAAAGACAAGAAATTTGGAAATATATTTACAATGCAATTTGGAAAGTAAACAGAAAGGAGGTATACTAACTGGGCTAGAAGATTATAGCTGTAAATTGTTGGGACTTAAGTAAAACCACACATTTAGACAAACAGTTTCTCAATCTTTATCCAGAAGCTCCTACTATTCAACATATCTCCCACACATCCGCACCCAAAGAGCAGTCAGTTTAGATAAAAGTTTGAGAAACAGAATCAGGGCCAAAGGATAAGCCTCTCCTCTACTTCAGAGCACTCATTGTCTGCCTCACACCCTCTTCTCCCTGAGGACTGGCTGTGTGTTGACTGACCCCATGCTGGGATACATGAACAGTAACAACAGTGGACTCCTGGTCCCTGTGCTGATGGGAGGCAACAAGGATAAGCTGCCCTCACACTTGCTATGCTAAAAGAACAGGAAATATTATTTTACCTGTGGCATAGACAAAATGTCTAATATAGAAGTATGTTTTATAGTGGGAATTTGCTATACAAATCTATTAACTATATCCTTTCTCATTAAAAACTGGCTTAGCTGAATTATATTCAGTCAAAAGTCGGGTTCTAGTGCTAAAATCAAAATCCACTTAGGGCTTTTAACATCAAAACCAAAACCCAAAACTGCAGCTAAAACACATTAGTTCATAAAGCAAGGGGAATCTTGCAGTCTCTGGGAATAAGCAAAATCCCTCTTTTGCAAGTGAATAAGTAAAATCCCTCTTTTACTCATAATCCAAAATAAGTGAAGAAATTAAAGCTGCATGAATGGTTCCTGAAAAAGTTCCTCCGTTTGAAAAAAAAAAATTCACTAGGTTCAAGTATTAAAGAAACTACTATACAAGTTGAATCCTTGACCCATTATTTAGGGCAGCTTCTTTTTACTATAATGCCCTGCCAACACAAAACCACTGTGAAGATCTAGGAGCACAGAGAATGGCAGTCAATGCTACAGGGCTCATGGGTTATGGGAGAGAACTACAGACGCCACACCCTTGCCTAAGTCTCCCCATCTCATAAGCTGGTCAGTGTCCCTGCTGCTGACACTGGGCCCCAGCATTATCCATTCCTTCCCCAACCTCTCCATTTCTTCACCTACTTGTTCAGTCAGACATTCAACCACTATGAAATGCCTCTTCCCTACATACATATGCAACACATGCCAACTCTCAAGGAATGCAACTTAGTGGAGGACAAAAAGCAAGTAAATATGCAGTAACAATGCAAACATGTGCCACTACAGAGATAGGTACCAAGTGATAAGGAACCCTGCAGGGATGAACAACCAGCCCAGCTTCAGAGGGGCAGAGAAAACGTCCCTGCAAAGGAAGCTACAAGAATAAAGAGCAGTAGGCCACTCCATGAGGTGGGAGATGGTGGTGAGGATTGCCTCAGTGGGTGGAACAGCATGTGAGAGGCAGAAAGAGCAAATGTAGCCAGTCCAGAGGACTGGAATAGATGGAGATGGGGAAATAGTGAGAGCTCACTCCACCTAAAGCCAGGCCTATGGGGAGCCCTCAGGTGCTCCTGGATGCCTCCTCTAAGAGCCTGGCAATTCAGAAAAAAGAATGCCCCTGTGTACCATAAAGGACTCAAGTCTTAATGAGAGGACTCTTCTAGACACATGCCATCATTGTATCTGTTGATTTTAGCAGCAATGGGGAAACTAGGCAATACTTAATTTTAGGAAAGTCACAAGCTATGTGAATAGGGCAATGGACAGATAAGGTCTACAGGCAGGAGATTTCTACCTGGCTGAAATATCAAACTCCTATGTGGTATATGAAATATACCACCACATATAAAAAATTAATGAATGTAATTCAGCCATAAGAAGTCCTATCTATTGGACAGATCAATATAATCACCTCCTAAGAAGTTATTACAGTGGGAGAAACTGGGCCTGGCTTCACCCTGAGTTCTTAAGCAAGTAACTGACCTTAAGTTTCTTTATTCACACAAGAAATAGTTGCTATGGTTGTCTCCAGCACTTCTAAATCCCATCATTCTGGCAGGATGTAACAATCAAAAGTATTTTATCACCAAAGGCAGGGATTTAAGTAACTTTTCTAAGCCACAGACTTATAATGGTTTTATCTGGGGGAAAAAAAAATGGATGGGCCCCAAACTGTCTAAAATTCAAAAAACAAACACATTTAAGTTCCTGCACCTTTTAAAAGTTGACAAACCATGCATAACCAAATACAAAGAAAATTAAAATTTTAGGATAAGCAAATGAGAGGATAATTTTTTTTTTAAGAAATGAGAAAGTAAAAAAATTAACCCAACGAGGCAGGCAGGGATTCGTTGCTCACTTCCCCTTCTGCTGGTTTCATTTCCCTTCTTAGGTGAAAACACTCCTAATATGTAAATCAGTCCACTACAGACTTCAGAGTCCTTTCTGCTAAGATTTACAGAAATTTGTATGCAAAAGAAATTATTTCTAGACTTCCATGTACTGGAAAAGGACACTTACAAAATACACCAAACTGAAGTGGATAAATGTATGTGGCAAAGAAGAAGCAAGTAACAAAAGATCCTACTTTTAAACATTTAGAAATGTTTAAATACTAAAAAGTAGAAATGTCAATATTCTATAATTTTTAAGAACTCAGTAGTAAAAAGTGAGACTCAAATCATTTTGGAGAACCTACTAAGTGCCAGGTACTATGTTAACTTGGGATCTTTCTGGTTTACGCCCCTTAAAATCCTACTGGATAGCATTATCTCTATTTCAACTGTACAGAAATGAAGTAGGAACAATAGCTTAGTCAGAGTGGATCAGTAACTAGACAAAATCACGCAGCTTAGAAAGCAAAGAAGCTAGACTTTAAACCCCTTTTACTCAATATCAAATCTCCTTTTCCTTCCATAGATGATGCAGACTTTAAGCATCAAAGTACACAAACTGAACAAACTTTATCCTTTGTATATAATTCTCTGAAGTATATGCCATCATTTCAAGGGCAGCTTATGCATAAACAAATCATTTGTGAAAGAGAAAAACCACATCCAGGGTAAAGTCATAAGGTGAAAAAGCCTATTTCAGAAAGCACTTCCTGAAAGAGACAAAGCAGCAATTACAGTCAGCTCAGCACCAACTCCTATGCCAAGCGTTACACTGGAAGCTACTTTTTAAAGCAACAAACGTCTAAAACAAAATACGACATTTCTTAAATACACTGTTTCCAGAAAGAGCTATTTTAACAGAGGCAACTCAAAGATATCTCTTCAACAGAAGCGGGTATGCTGAAAAATGTTCATCTCTTATACAGCCTATTGATGGAAAGGAGGTAAGCAGCATTTAATTAACTTCATGATTACTGCCAAAAGTAATGCTTTATGTGCTAAATTTCAAAAATCATTTCATTTTAATAATACAGGCCGGGCACGATGCCCTACGCCCGTAACTCCAGCACTTTGGGAGGCCAAGGCAGGAGGATCACTTGTGCCTAGGAGCAACAGTGAGACACCGTCTCTATAAAAAAAAACAAATATAACTGAACCTTGTTGGTGAAGGACCTTGCAAAAGGCTATATAATCATCTTTCAACATTAATACGATTTTACATTTATTTTCATATTGCTTTACATTAATAGTAAATATAATTTTTTTCAGCTTAAGGAAAACATTTATGGCAAATCATATGTACATTTAGGAATGTTCATCACATGGTTTCAATTACATTGTTTCATGAAACATATTTAATGATTTTTAAGAAAAGCTACAGATAATTGTGGTATCTACAGCTTTTAAAAAGCTGACTTGAAAGTCAATCACTTTTTAATATTTATCCAAAAATCTGTCTGTGTTTGCAGAACACAACCAATACTATATTGCCTTTAAATCACATGCATCACTCACATTTTTTCAAACTTGAGCAAATGAATAGAAGTATTGGTGACAAATAAGCTACATAGAAACAGCTTGAGCCTAACGTGGGAAAAAAGATTTACTCAAAATGGTAAGTACAGGACTTACGCTACAAAATTAAAGGATGAGGATAGGTGAAGGGAGTCCTGATATAACACTAAAAAAGGAAAACAAATACAAAATTTCATTTATATTACAATTGCTACTACTTAAGAATTCATTCCAGTTAAAAATAAGATTTACGCCTCCAAAATTACTCTCCTTTGAATGACATTGGATATATAATTTTTCTCTGCAGTTCTTTCCTCATTTGATAGAAATTAATATTCTAGTCACACAAATATTTGGAAAATTTAATGTAAGTTTTAAAATATATATAATTCTACACCAAAGTCATATTTAACCTAAATATTTGAGAAGGAAAGATGGAAAGGAAGGGAAGGAAGGAAATAAGGCAGGCAGGCAGGGAGGCACTTATCTTGTGATTATCCACAGCAACTGCTCAAGTTAATTCTTCATTATCAATAGCCCGTGATGCCACTGACCACAGCAAATCTCCCTCACAGTTTTCATTAAAGAGAAGTTCTGGGCTGATTTCAAGACAGCCCACTCTGCAAAGTGACATTTTTGAAGGAAATTTTTCATCCACCTCCACATTTCAAGGGATGCCACAGGTTCCATCTCATTGCAGCAAAGTCTATTTTTAAAATCTGTTGTTGGTGTTGCATCATGGGGGAATGAAGTTTCACACTGAGGGGTTCAATGATATTTACAACTCCAAATAAACTCCTTTCCATTTAAAATGGACAGATTTTTTTTGGGGGGGAGGGTTACGGAAATTTATTAGTTTCTACATACACATCAAGTTACTGAATGACTTTAATATCTACTTGCCTTAGATACTCCATTTTTGGATTTACTTAGAAAATTTTTAAAATTTAAATAATATTTAAGCTTCTGAATGTAGGCAGAATGAGGATATGAAAGTTACTAATGGCACAAGCTTATTTTCAAGGTGCTGCTTTCTGTGCACCACTGAAGTAGAGCCACTGAAAGCAGTTTCTTGTTTTGATGAACAAAACCTGTAGACTTGGCATTATGTACTCCCAACTGTGCATTAGAAAATAGCTAATCTATTGTTCTAACAGTCCAGTTCTTGATCTGTTGATCATGGCACAAAACACTACTGTTTCTAGACCTATAATTTAAAGAGAATGTAAGGTTATAAATATTATAAAGTGTTTCCACTTAAAAAAAAAAAAAGTTTAATGGCCAGCTAAACAAGTCTTCATCTAGAAAACTACAATTGAGAGTTTTTTAGTGGAGCTGCTGTAAGTCATCTCACCAAAATTTCCTTTATTTATTCATTGATTCAGTAAATATTTTATTGAGTACCTATTACATGTTCAATAGACAGTGGGGCTACAGCTGTAACAAAGGAAAAGTTCCTATTTCTCTCTCAAATGAGAATTACTGTGAAATGTTCAGTAGTTAACCACTCGAATGGTTCCTTGATTCATTTTCCACATTTCTATTCACATATTTTGCATATTAAAATTATATTTAATGAACAAAAATACATTATTTAGACATTGCTCATCTGGTTGCAAAATATTTAAACAGAATGAAGATGACAAAAAGTGGCAAACAATTGCATAAGATTCAAAATTCAGAATAGCCTTTTCCCTGTTAGTCCAAATGAAAGGACCCTTACAGAAACAATTGTTACCTAATTTCACACTATAGGAAAAAACTGTAAAGAAATGGTTATTCTTGTAGGAAGAAGGCAAGTGAGCAAGGTGAGAAAGAGAGAGAGAGATGAATGAAATTGTCAATGAATTATGACACCAGGACCATTTTAATAGATTGATACAAATTAGTAATATCTCTAGGGAATGGATTCCTTAACAAATACTAAGACACATAAAGTGAGTCTATAACATAAAATGTTCTCAAAATTAAAATTCAGTGACAGCCAAGCTGAGTGGGAGAATGTTAAGCATTTATTTTTCAACCAAAATTTTATTCCTATTTTTCTTAACTATTTTTACAGTTTCTAAGTGTCATGCCTACCAACAAGCTGTAAAATGATCACCCTGAACGATCAAGATCAACCTGTCCCTTTTAACAACTCACATCCAGGTGAATACAAAATTGCGGCCCTTGTCTTCTACAGCTGTATCTTCATAATTGGATTATTTGTTAATGTCACTGCATTATGGGTTTTCAGTTGTACCACCAAGAAGAGAACCACTGTAACCATCTATATGATGAACGTGGCATTACTGGACTTGATATTTATCATGACTTTACCCTTTCGAATGTTTTATTACGCAAAAGATGAATGGCCATTTGGAGAGTACTTCTGTCAGATTCTTGGAGCTCTCACAGTGTTTTACCCAAGTATTGCTCTATGGCTTCTTGCCTTTATTAGTGCCGACAGATACATGGCCATTGTACAGCCGAAGCATGCCAAAGAACTTAAAAACACGTGCAAAGCCGTGCTGGCTTGTGTGGGAGTATGGATAATGACCTTGACCACGACCATCCCTCTGCTATTGCTCTATAAAGACCCGGATAAAGGCTCCAGCCCCGCCACCTGTCTCAAGATTTCTGACATTATCTATCTAAAAGCTGTGAACGTGCTGAACTTCACTCGACTGACATTTTTCTTCTTGATTCCCTTGTTTATCATGATTGGGTGCTACTTGGTCATTATTCATAGTCTCCTTCACGGAAGGACGTCTAAGCTGAAACCCAAAGTCAAGGAGAAGTCCATAAGGATCATCATCACGCTGCTGGTGCAGGTGCTCATCTGCTTTATGCCCTTCCACATCTGTTTTGCTTTCCTGATGCTGGGATCAGGGGATAACAGTTATAATCCCTGGGGAGCCTTTACTACCTTCCTCATGAATCTCAGCACGTGTCTGGATGTGATTCTCTACTACATTGTTTCAAAACAATTTCAGGCTCGAGTCATTAGTGTCATGCTATACCGTAATTACCTTCGAAGCATGCGCAGAAAAAGTTTCCGATCTGGTAGTTTACGGTCACTAAGCAATATAAACAGTGAAATGCTATGAATAATAGAAAGGTTTTTTTACTTCAATCCCATTAAAATTCACTTTACGAACTAGTCTGGGGTCAATGAGTATTCTGTATAATACTATCAAGTCCCTTTTCTCTTGAAAAAAATAAATTCATTATCTTCATTTAAAAAACTTAGAGAAAACATTTTTGTGAATTATTGGGAGAAAAGTATCCAATTTGTCTTTCATAACCAAGTCTTATTTACACAGATAATCAAGTTAAATTTTTGCATTTAATTCTATGTGCAAGTGACACGTGTATGTTTTTTTTTTTTTTTGAGACGGAGTTTCGCTCTTGTTACCCAGGCTGGAGTGCAATGGCGCGATCTCGGCTCACCGCAACCTCTGCCTCCTGGGTTCAGGCAATTCTCCTGCCTAAGCCTCCTGAGTAGCTGGGATTACAGGCACGTGCCACCATGCCCAGCTAATTTTTTATGTATTTTTAGTAGAGACGGGGTTTCACCATGTTGACCAGGATGGTCTCGATCTCTTGACCTCGTGATCCACCCACCTCGGCCTCCCAAAGTGCTGGGATTACAGGCTTGAGCCACCACGCCCGGCGACACGTGTATGTTAATCAAGTCAGCAGGAGGGGAAATCCAGCTACCATATAAAATAATTTGATTAAATTATTTTCTACCTAGATGCAGCTCCTTGCAAATTAGGTCTAATTTGCACTAGGATTAATTGTAAGTCCAACATTTTATGTCCCAAACCTCAACTTCCAGAATTCCTATACAGGAAATTATGTTGAACTCATTACTGTTACTTACTATAAGGCAAAATTAATAGGAACAACAACTCAAGGGGCCTGTAAAGGCTATCCCCATCAGCCCTCCCCAACTCTGAATTCATTCTTTTGAAAACAGAGGACAGTCATTCAACAAATACTGAGGGCCTACTATGCACCAGACCCTACTTAAGACTAATGATGAAAACCTAATCTGAAATGCTGTTTCCATCCAATAATCCAAGTTCATTTCTATCATGTGAGGTAACTATAATACGGTGAAATACCACTCTCCAATACAAATAGTTAGGTCTTCTTATGTGGTTAAAAATCCCATTTTTACAAGGGGTTAACTGATTTTTTTTCTAGGCCATATGTCACATTATAAATAGTACAAATAGGAACCTTGAATTCTTAGTCTTGCCATTTAATTTATCCTAATAAAGTAACAAACCAAGTAACTTACCATCTAAAAGAAAGGAACTGAACAATAATCTACAGAGCCCGTATTATCCTCAATACTATGGAAGTAAAATAAATGATTCAACTATAACTTCCTCTCCACTAAATTACCTTTATCACTCTTAACATAATCATGTCCTACTGGGGCTTAGAACCAAATATACGCATTGGTTAGAAATTGATTTCTGGCTGGCTGTGGCGGCTCATGTATGTAATCCCAGCACTTTGGGAGGTTGAAGTGGACAGATCACTTGAGGTCAGGAGGTCAAGATCAGCCTGGTCAACATGGTGAAACCCAGTGTCTACTAAAAATACAAAAATTAGCCGGGCGTGGTGGTGCACGCCTATAATGCCAGCTACTCAGGAGGCTGAGGCAGGAGAATTGCTTGAACCTGGGAGGCAGAGGTTGCAGTGAGCCAAGACAGCGCCACTGCACTCCAACCTGGGCGACAGGGGGGCAGGAGGGTGGGGGGAAGGGGAGGGGGGAGGGGAGGGGAGGGAAAAAGAGAGAAAGAGAGAGAGAGAGAGAGAGAGAAAGAGAGAGAGAGAAAGAAAAAAAGAAAGGAGAAAGAAGAAAAGAGAAAGAAAGAAAGAAAGAAAGAAAGAAAAAGAAAAGAAAAGAAAAGAAAGAAA